GATTTCTTGGGAGTTACGCGCGTACCTGACCGGCGCGTAGAATAAAAGTAATACGCTCAGGCTCACTTTAGCAAAGCTATATATATATATATATATATATATATATATATATATATATATATATATATATATTTAATTGTCGCATCTATAAATAATTGCCACTACCATGGACACTTCATAGTTCATACTCCCGCATGCACCAAAAATTCAGAGTTCGGAGTTGGCATTACCACACACGCATCCTGCGTGCAAAGCAGTTCAGAAAATCAGAGTTTAAACCTTGGTGTGAGTAGATCAATCCGGCTCCATCCTAGAGAACGCAGGGCCCTGAGGTAGAAGAACCACTTGCCGCCGGCAGCCACGGTCTGCCCCTTTACACCGTCTTTTACGCTACCCACCTCCGTACGCCTGCTGTCGTCTGCTAGTCCATCGTCGCACTAGCGCACGCCATCAGAGAGGAAGGGAGAGCCAGCGCCGGAGAGGAAGAGCTGGGTGGGTGGCCTACGGCGTTGCACATCGAGAGGAGAAAGAGACGAGGGGGTTCATGCGCTGAGTTTGTGGGTGAGTGAGTCAGGGAGGGCGAGAGCGAGGCCTTGTGCATGGTCTGGCCGATTTAGAGGTATGACCAGGTTTGGCATATGGAGCGAATATGCCATTCCGGGAACGAATGGGTTCCGACTCCTCGTATGGACCAAACACGAGAATGTGCCTTAGGGACGGAATGGACCAGCTACATTCCGCCTAATGACACAAACCAAACACACCCGTAAATGACAAAAAAAAACAAGCTACTATTTTAGCTGTATTCAGTGTTATATGAATGTCATATCATACTCCATAACAAAGCTGCAGTACAATCTAACGGTCAGGAACAGTGCTGTCAAATCCTGAGACATGACGACAGTCCTGCTAGAATTTCAAAAAGCAAAACTTAATGATCAGTCATATTTATGAACTTCACTATCGGAAGCAACTCAATTTTATCCATAATACAAACCTGGAAGGTATATTTCGGTAAATAACTTTTACAATAAAGGGTTTCCCCCGCTTTATAGATAAAGCAACATCCGATACAACCAGCTCGCTGGGGCCGCAGCACAAACAAGTCCAAAGAAAAGAGGGAGGAAAAGAAAGAGAAATAAATGACAACAAAGGCAGATCAACGAAACGAAGATGGCCGGCAACCGCTGCATCCACCAAAGAAGAACCTCCACGCACCCATCACTCCGAAGCGCCGCGTACCAAGCAATACCTTCAAGAAGGAGGCGACGCCAACGCCGCTGTTGCCCGGACTAGTCCTAGGGTTTCCCCCCGTACGCGAGGGGGGAGTGGGGGAGGGAGTACCCGACGCCCTTCAGGAAGGTTCGGCGGCACCCGCAGGCGTCGCCGCGTCAGGGCCGAACGAGTCGCTAGAGATTTCTCTCGACCCAAACCCCCACCATCACCCCAGACGATCCAAAGTGCACCGCCCAAAATGCCGCCCGCCAACATGTGCCACCACGGTCACCGAACCAACTCCGCCGTCTCCCTGAGGCCACCAACACGAGACCCGGAGGATGGAAGAAGAGATAGTGGGCACGGGGGCATCCGCAACACAGCCGACGTGAGGGAACATCCACCACTGCCACGGAGCCGACCTGACGCACGAACAAGGGGCCTGCCAGGCGCCGTGCCCCGGCCGGACTCAAAGAGTCCGGACAGCCCCTGTCGTCGCGCTGCCGCTCGCTGGCCGACGAAGCCGCCACCGCCCGCAGACCACCACCTCCTCGCCACCAACACCAGGGAGGAGCGTCACTGCGCACCGAGCCGTCGGCCTCTCGAGCCCAGAAGGAGCCCGAAAGGGCCCAAATCTTGGGCGCGCGGGCGCCGCCG